CCAGGATCCGAACCATAGTCTCACCACCATCATGCGCCCCCACTACCACTCAGCCAGGCCGCCGCTGCCGGCAGTGGGCTGAGGGTGTCTCTTCTAACGGCCATTCATTTGAAACCTTTGTAACTCTGTTCAGAGAATCGTTCCGCAAATTTGGAGGACGGATTTGAAATCAGCGTCCGAAAACACGTATGTGAGTATAGGTTTCATTACGAATGGCCACTTCGACCTGGGATCCTTCCCTTGTAGAATCATATACAACAGACAATGGCGAATCTGATGGTCTGGTCAGAGCTCTGTCATTGTTTAGTGTATGCATTTGCTGTGGTTCAGTCTTGTCACCATATTTATGCCTCACCCTGTATACGCGCCTTAGAACGCTGAACTCAAATCTGCTTTCCTTGTCAGCGAGTTATTCTCAGAAAAGAATTTGTAACACAAATAGGAAAATTCCCAACGTCGCTAGTCCGAAATATTTGCGCATAGCACTCACGAAGAACTTAGGGGCAATTAGTAACAAATATGGGCGGCATTTGCTACTCTAGAAAAGACAAAGATAGCGTCCGGTCTGTCCATCTGCGTTATCAAAGGATCTTCAGGGCAGTCTTCCCAAATACAACACTCTGTCCTCAATATCGCCCATGATTGACCACCCCTAGAATTGGAATTTGGGGAGTGGTAGTTCCATCCCTGCTCCTCTTTTCTCTTTTTCACAACTAGGTCATGACCTTATGTTTGACTAACAACCTTTTTCTAGAGGTAGTTTGATTCCCTGAACACGAATTTCGTGAACGAAACCGGAGAGATTTACGTCAATCATGAACCAACTTTCGTCCTTCAAAGTGAGAATGAGTTTCACATCGAGGTTATTGGTATAGTTGTTCTTTGATAGAATTAGTATAAACAGTAGCTCTCTAATCCAGTCGATGTGACGAACCTAAGCGATTTTGCTAGGCATTTCAGTAAGACAGTGCGCTCGCACACTAAAGAAAATACTATATCAACACAACTCCCAGTAGGTATTTCTAGCAAAAACTTTGAGCGAAATTGTTTATTTCTATCCAGTGGCGAAAAAAGCAAAGAAACCCTTCGAAAAACGCATAATGGGACCCCTTTCTTTGTCGGTTGAATTATAAACAACCAACTGAGGGGTCATTTGCACTTATCAAACAATGGCCACCATCTTGCTAACGAAAACAGGCTTTAATTTAACACATCCCACAGAAGTGTACTAAATACCGACGGCGGAGCGCAGGCGAAGGCGGAGCTAAGAAAGGCATGGCAAGCCCAGTGCCCTGCAAGGCACCTTACCACTGCTCCAATCGGTGCGCACACATTTTATCGTAATCCCTCGCTTTTGAAAGCACCCCGCCTTTCCAGCTTCCCAACTGTTGTTCCTTTATGAGATCCTCTGGAAGCACATTGCACTCTAGCTTAGATTTGTAGAAAATGGTAACCCTTTAATCAGTATATAAATGTACGAAACTGCTTGAACCAGGTGGGCCGAGGGCAGTCTGGGAACAGCACAATTCCGGGCTAGAACCTTACTTATAGTATTCTGGGAACAACAATCAAAATCGACTTCGATGGGTATTTTTCTCAGGCATACCCATCGATGGACAACTCCGAGAATATGGTGGAGGCGGATACTGCATGCTTTTACAAGGACCTACTTCCGATTTGATAGCCAAGCTTAAGAAAGCTTCAAGGACGGAACAAATTGGAATCAGAGCAAAGTCTTTGCTGATTCATACCACGCTGCAAAGTTGATTATATCGGATACTAATTAAAAATCACTGACGCACAATCTGTAGATCGCGAGCCTTTGCATTGTGGGATATAATATACAAATGTGTTAACGCTCAAGTGAATTACTTTTCTGTCATCCAGCTGACCATAGAAATCCCAGCGGAAGGTCACCTTGATTTATTTGTCCACCATATGACAGCTGCTTATTCCATGATTCTAAGGGTACCTACTGCCGTCATCCTGGATAGAATCCGTTCGTCTAATGAGGAGCCACGGAGGTGATGGCAAAGTAGTCAATGATATGCTTTTTTGAGGTTAGATTTAAATATCTTCAACCAAATTCTCATCTTTTTTTTCTTTATACTTCCTCGGATTCATAAGGCTTTTTTTCTACTCTAACTGCGATAAAAATCGAAGGATTAGCGCTGAACTACTCTCTCATGTCTACAGTGATGCAATCCGCGGTCTAACCCGCTCACCCTTCCCACCTTACCACAATTACTGTTTGCCACGCATCCGTTGTTGTGGTGCTCTATAATGTTTGCAGACACTCTATATTGCCTACGCTGTTATAAGCTTCTGTGTGAACACCTTGACCTACGTTACAAACGTAGTGTCCGCATATCGTACTCGACCACGACAGTGTACTCCTGACTAACGACTTTTTGCGCATCTTTTCATAGTGTGAGTACTGTTCTTGGATTCTCGAATCACTTTATATGATAAAAGTGAAAAGATGGTAAGCGTGTTAGTACTTCTGTGCCTTACGAGGTTGTCAGGTGGAACTTTTTATTCAGTGGCCTAACGTTTCGACGTCGGAATCGTCGTCTTCAGAGGCCTGAACATGTTTCAAGTTTAGATCTACGCTCTACCCCACCAGCAGCTGAATAAAACGTTCCACCTGACAACCTCGTAAGGCACAGAAGTACTAACACACTTACAACTGAAATGCCGAGGTTGCAAGAAGAGAGAAGCCGGAGAATTGAAAAGAGAGTGCTTACAGACGTTTCTGGGACCTTGTTGATTTATTCGTTGGTATTCTAGCAATCACGTCTGTGATCGCATATTACCTCCGACAAGTATACATTGATAAGGTAAACTTTTTAATTCCTTCCTGTAGATACGTACCCTCTGCTTCAGAAAACCAGAAGAGCGCCGGGTGCAGAACCCACGCCACAAGTGACGAAGGTAGTGATTCATGGTGATAGTTGATAATTAGTAAACGAGGGTTGTACTTAAACAGCTGAAAGAATACAACTGCAACAGGCTAATCATTTCATTGGCAGAAAACATTTACATTTTGTGGAGGCCGTCGTCACTTGTGGTGTGTGGTCTGCACCCGACGCCTTTCCGGTTTTTTAAAGCAGAGTACACATCAAATGACAGTCTGGTGGAAATGTATGCGTATTGACGCGGAGTGCTACGACCCAATTCATGTGTGGTAATGGACTGAACTTAACGCAACAAATTTGCATTTCCCCTGTTCTCGTTGAAGATTACAAAGTTGCTTGACTATGCCTTAAAGGCCGTTCCGGGATTGGGCACGCTTCACCTGTACCATCTCCGAGAGTGGTATTCAAAGGACAAGCTTGATGTTGCGTCCCTTTTGTCGCCAAATCCAAAATGCGCGACAAATCGCTGGAAGTACACTCCACCCGCAATCTACACATACCTTCGATCGCAATCTCTGCCTTTTGCCGTCAGCTGCCACGTGATGCTGCGAGGGAGGCGTGGCAGCAGCTGCTTTGCGGTTCAGTGTTATCGGCAGTGGAGCCATGGGTCCATGTAACTCGTTCACGTTTCTGTAAATCAAGGTGGAATGCGGCTAAAATGAGTTTCTCATGCTTTTTTCATTCGGACCACTCACGACCTCCACCTTCATTGCTGAACGCTCTTTACACGCTCTCACACTCATTTTATCCCGGTGCTTGTCTCCAAACATCAACTGCTTCCTTGGAAATAGAAGCGTGTGGAAAATCGCGCACAGAGAGTTCTTAGAATTTGGATTGAAGAATGGAGGCTAGCGCGATTCGCTACCAATTGATTAGTGAAGCTATTGCTACAAAGGGGGAGGATTAGCGTATGAGGCCAGATGATGGGGTATTGATCGATTTGGTTATATTAGGTTGTTGCATTATAAATGTCGCTTTTGGACGTACCACAAAATTTGTTGGAACAGCAACAATTCGGCATCTCAGAAGAAGAGATGGATACTACCTTATTGTGCCAGGCTTCGCCATTCCTCACGCAGAGACTCGACGTCCTTCTCGAAGAATCGTAGTGCGCAGGTAAACATGGACACCCAGATTCCGAATTTTTTGATTCTCTGAACTGTTTCTCCTTCAAAAAATGCCGCGTTGACTCGGATGCGCAGCGCATAGATGGAGTGTGACCAGAGCTGTTTTTTGGCGGCGAAGTGAAATGCTTCAGCCTGGTCCTCGCACTTTTTGCTGGCCATTTTTTTTTCGTTAAAATGCAGCTTTTTCGTCGTGAAGTAACTTCATGAAATCATTGTTTTCTTTCCTCGCAGAGCCAATGCACGGTTTGATGTAGGTCGATTTTGGATTACAAAGACTGCCGTAACCGTGTGAGCTAAATTCATCCCCTCAATGTTGTAAAATGTGTAGAACATTCACGTGTACACACGGAAATTTCGGTCAGTCATCGTTTGAAAGAAAAATTCTTGTAAAAAACAAAATGATATGGGCAACGAGTAGTCGCTTATACTCCTAGATTTCCTCTTTCGAACGAATGCTCAAGTACCCTGGATGTTCGAAGACAGCCGAGTGGGGTGAAGCTAAATCTGGTGCGACATTTATAATGCAACAACCTAATAGTTATCAGGTCGATATGAGATGAGGCAAGGAAAGGCATCGCAAAAGTGGGCCGATCATTTCCTTTGGCTTGTGTCACAAATTCGAATTTCATTCTGAATCGCACAAGTTTGCATGCCTTGTTGGAGTCAGTCCATAGTTCGGTTGCTGTTCTAATTGTGCAAGGCAATGCTTTACTCAATATCCGAATACGAATTGAAAAATCCTCATTACCCGAATGCGCTACGCGGCCACAACCCCTGCCTCCACGTCACGTTAACTTTCCCCGTACGAACTAATTGCAATGAAATTTATTGTGGACTAGCAAATGACCGTATTTGCAGAACTGAGGAAAAGTGTTGTGTTGCACTTGCTGACAGTGCTTTCATTCTCAACCATGCGTGATTTACAGGCGTTGGAGAACTTCGCTGCAACTAACGGCAACGTATATATCAATCTTGAACTGCAAAGGAATGTAGAGCTTCTGTTCACGTTCTGCCTGGCCGGCGTCGTGTTCTTTGTTGCTTGCAAAATGATTAAGATTTTACGGTTTGTTGCCTCTTTCGCTAGTATGAAAGCAGATTAGTTGAAGCGCTGAAATAATGGAGTGAGATTATTGCGACTATGTTCGTTTGAGAGTTGATCATGAGGATTTGGAGGCAGTTCATACGGAAGGTCTCGGCTGTACATCGAAGCAATGAGGCGGCCTAATCCAAAAAAGTACAGGCAGTGACCATAAAGCTTTATGGATGTCCTTGAAGCTCCTTCTGAGCTTCACCTCCAATTTTTTCTCAACTTAGAGGCGCGTTTCATAATTGCTGTAATGTGCATTGTGAGGATGCTCAAAAGTATGGGTAACTTTAAATACCAGAGAAAACCAGAGACAAGAACGATTTCTTGAAGATTTACTTGAAGTAATCTGATACTTCACTTCTGTTGTAAAGTATGGGAGGATTCCGATATCGGAAACATTGACGAGAAATACAGTCGGTTTGTTGAACATATTCACGAAAGTGGCAGGAAGGCAGAGAGTTTGAAAGTCACCAAGGGACGTCTGTCTCCGGAAACTCTCGAGGATACGCCAAAAGTGGAGCCGCACGAGCTGCAGGCAATCACTAATTCACGTCCGAACTATAGCCGTTGAGTGCCATCACCACCATACTTCTACAAAACATTGATATTGTAGGGAGGGTCCGCGAATCCTCGTTTTGAAAGTGGTTTTTTATTCCATCAGCTGCCTCACCACTTCGTTTTTGCGAACGGACATAATGCACAC